GCTGCGGTGGTGACGGTCGGGAGAGCGCGAACGAGAAGCAGATCGATGCCGGTGACGGTGGCGGTCGGAGGACGGGGAGCGAGTCCGGGAACGGACTCTCCTGGATCGGACGCGCTCAGGCGTATAAGAACGCGAAGGAGAAGGGGGAGTTCTTTCTTTCCGGTCCCGGTAGCGCTCATCGCGAACGCGTTTCCGATCCCGATCCCGATCCCGATCTCGATCTCGATCTCGGTCTCTGTGGTCGGTCATGGCGATGCTAAAACAGGCCTCGCAGGGAAGGAGAGGGTTTCAAGCCTCGATTTGGGGTTTTACCAGTGTGACTACGGCGGCGAATCGCTCCATTTCACTGCTAATAACTTTGTACAAAAAAATTCAAAAAATAAAAATCCTACATGAATAATTTAGTTAAATTATTTTTGTCATTTCAATATACTCCATTCATTCCATATATCCTTCTTATATTTTCGATGCTAATAATTTAATTGGCAAGTCAAATTACAAAAATAAATTATACAAAAATAAAAATAGGAACTGTTTTTAAGAATAAAGGGAGAATTTGTTTTTCGTGAAAGCTAAAAAGAGATTATGATTTCTTGTCTCACTATTTTTGAAACAAAGAGAGATGCAAAAGTTAAAAAATGTAAGATAATGTGGTTGTTACTCGTTATTGATTTTAAAATTAAAAATAAAAATGAATATGAACCATACAAAAACGACAAAATATGGTATGATTTTGTCTCCATCCACAAACTTTCCAGTCATTCACTATTAACATAATCAAATTTTATTCATTTTGTTAATATACTTTCTTTGTTCATTTGATAAAATAATATAGTAATGTCAATTCTAGTTCTATACATCTTTTGATTTACTCCGTAATTTTTAAATACTCCGTATGTAACTTATAGTATTTTTTTAATCATACACCAATTCTTCATATAAGTTAGTTTAAAAAATAATTTTGGTGAAACATCGTAACATGTAACGACAAAAAAATTTGTAGACGGAGGGGTATGTGACAAGAATAGTATGACCACAAAAGTGTGACACCAATAGCAAACAAAACATGCAATTTTTTTGCCTACCTTCTCTATTAGGTTTTTTTGCGTTATTAATTTTCAAGTGGTTAGCTACTTTTTTTTGAACAATCAACACGCATTATAGATCAAAGTCAGAAGGGAGAAAATCGTAGTATAACTTATTGGCTTGATCGAATGCGACAGAGGCCAAAGAGTGAGCAATAACATTAGCACCTCGAGGAATATAATGAAACGAGCAAGTATCGAAAGAGTCTAAGCTTCTCTTACAATCAGAAGTAATGATGTCGACATAGGACCTATCTTTCTTAGAATTGTGAGCAAGATTTTGACATAAAGTATAGCAATATGAAAATACTCAGACAAATAGAAATCCAAGACCCGAAAATGATCTCTTTTGAACTTAGTTGAGTGGTCAAAGTTGTTGTATCGCGTGATTTCACTCCCATGGATTTAGTCAACCCCACAATGGTCATTCTCAATCTTGAAAAACAGAACATTTTTGGGTGTTATAAAACAAACTATGGAATCCGAATCCAATATCAGGGACATCTTCCTCTGTAACATGGGGGTGACGATTTACAAGCTTCATGACATCTTCTTGTGTAAATATGGGATCCATAATGCAAAGATGAAAGATTCGCTGCTATATACGTAGTATCATGTTTAAATAATACTCCCCCGTCCCAAAAAGATTTACACCTTTCAAAAAAATTGTGTCCCACAATCTCCTACCCATTTCTATTAAAAAACCACTTTTACCCCTTACTTTTTAAACCCTACCTATCACATCATACCTTTTTCCTAATAATCTACACATCACATCCTACTTTTACCCATCACATCAAGGGTATTTTTGGAAAGTCAGCACAAAATTATTCCTTCCTTAATTTCTACTTTAGTTAAAATGGGTAACACTTTATGGGACGGAGGGAGTATCATTCAACCCCCTAAAATGTTCAAATGGGTCATTTAAGTATCGTTCCCATCTAAATCGTGTTAAGAGTATCCCATATCAGAAAAGTGTGAGGAAGATAATCGGTATATAAGCTTTTGAGATAAACTAACTAATAGATTGGATTCAATCATTTAATGTGGTTCAAGCCAAGTGCCTTATTACCCAATCCAGTTGTCCATACTCCATCATAAATTTATTATGGTATCAGAGCCAGTTTTAGCCCACCTTGTTTGTCAAGGTGTCCGTCTAGACGTTCATTCCTAGCGGCCCGTTAGTCTTTAGCTCAGTTGTCCGTATGGAGTATGTACCCAACAACCTGTGGACCGTTTAACACGATTGCTCGTCTGTAAGTCCATACCCAACGGCTCGTGGTTCTTTAGGTGTTGGCGCTAAAAAAAAGTCAAGGGAATGGGAGTCCATTTGCAAGTGGTCAACCGGTTAGATTCAAAATGGCCCAGTTGTCCACTTGAGGGGAGTGTTAAAAGTATCCCACATCGGAAAAGTGTGAGGAAGATAATCGGTATATAAGCTCTTGAGATGAACAAACTAATCGATTGGATTCAATCATTTAATGTGGTTTAACCCAAGTGTCTTATTACCCAATCCAGTTGTTCATACTCAATTCTAAATTCTATCAAATCGTTATAATATTTGATTGAAATTATTTTTAATTTTTTTTTTGAAAAATGATGTAAAATTTAAAAATTAAATTTATATATTTAAAAATTACATCAAAAGTTCTACAAACCAAGAGGTGACAAGATTATACGGAGTATTATTTTATCAAATCAGCAGTGGAGATAGAGTTTGTACTGTGATAATGTGACACTGTATATGGATATTTCACAATACTTTTTGTTATTATATATTGGCATTATTGCATTGTATATGCATTTAAACTCATATTTTAAAAAAATGAAACTCCTATTTTGATATATTTTCTATGTTCTACGAAAAACTTTACATTTTTCTTGTACATTCTAAAAAAATCCACTATATTTCTTTTCTTCTGTACTAAAAACTTGATTTTCTTGTTAAGAAATGAATAAGTGACTCCCAACTTTTCTGAATAAATAAAAAACATAAAGTATTTATTTTTTAGCACTTTTTTAAACTACGTGAAAGTTAAACAAGGATTTTTTTCCTAGATGAATGGAAAGACATTTTATTACCGTAGCACTTTGTCAAGATATTATACTGAGTACTCATTATATCCATAGATAGGCTTTTATGTTATATATTATTCGGGTTTGAGTCAGGTCGGATAAAATTATAAATCCACACCCGATCTGATCCGATGTCAGGTTCGGGTAAAAAAAGTTGGGTCGAATTCAGATTATTTTATTCTCAGTTCAGGTTCCGATATTTTAGTGGTCGGTCGGGTCGGTTAAGATTGAGTTTTGGGATAATTGTCATCCCTAGTGTGGAGGGGGGAGGCACTATAGCATGGTCTTGTACACAATTTGTTTTTTTTGGTTCAGAAAAATGGAAAACCCCCTAAAAGGGAACTCATATCTTCGATTGTTTGTGAAAGCCAAAAGTCTGTCTAATTACCCTTTAACAAATACATAAAAGAATATGCAAGTAAAAGTAATGATGGATATTTTTTCTTTCAATGACAAATTTGGAGTGACATTATCAATACTGGAGTGCCAATATTGATTCCCAAAATTTATAAACATAGCCTGCCTGCACTATGGTCAAATGAGTTTCTGTTTGTAGAGTATTAAACACTCAAGAACCTATCCTATTGTTCTCATCTCATACTTCCAAACGCTCCTATTTAAAGTCATATATATCTTCAATTAATTGCGGAAGCCGTAAGTCCTATCTAAACACCATTTTCCAACTCTTCTTATAGTTCTTAGGTTTACCCCTCCTAATGCAAACCATTTCAAAGTCCATGTGAACACCCAAAAAATGCCAAAATAGTTTAGAGGGACTATCAACTAGATTGCCAGTTTGACATGCATAACAGGAATTTGTAATTAGAAAAAAAAAGGAAATTGTTAGTCCCGTGCGCCCAAAACCGCAAAGGCTTGGCCCCAGAAGGCGGCGAGAACTCCAGGATAACATCCTTCAGGTATTCAAATGCAATATGAGTTATGCTAGAAACCACCATTGCCAACTGTATGTGAACTCTGTAATTTCACTAACGTTCACAGATGGTTATCATCTATGTGTGTGCAAATATTAAGACGGTGTCGTCTATGTTGTTAACATCTTTGTATTACCCTAGCATTTTTTAATGCAATATAGTCCTAGAGTTTAGTTGATCATGGATAATGACACAACAAATTTGTCATTGAGACAAAAATACCCCACATAAAAGAATATGCAAGTAAAAGTAATGATGGATACTATTGTCTTCCAATGACAGATTTAGAGTGACATTATCAAAATTGGAGTGCCAATGTTGATTCCCAGAATCTATAAACATATCCTGCACAGCTGCACTATGTTCATATGACTATATGAGTTTCTATTTGAAGAGCATAAAACCCTCAAAAGGAACTCCCTCCCCAGTCCCCATAGATTGACCATACAACCCAGGGTTTGTTCCATTTATTAAAAAAAACTATGCAAATTGGAAGTAAACAAGCCATAATTGTAGCATTCATTTTCAACATATTAAACCCAGATCAGAAACAAACCCAATAAGCATTTCAGAAAATAATTGTACACAGGTGACTATTTTCCTGTGGGGCACACCCCAAAACAGCATATTTTTGAAAAAAAACAATGAAATGTGAACGGAGATCATGGTATGAAGTGAGAACACAGAGAGGTCAAGAAACTGTGCTTCTTTTTTAACTCTTAGTTTACATAAAAATGAAAGGGCAATCACAAGTGCATATAGTTAAAAGAACTCCTAAAATTCAGTTTGCAAACCATGTGTGTTTTCACTTTACATAATGTTTCCATATTATGGTTTAAACACTTTTTTGTGACTCTTTATGCACAAGTCACTGGATGCAGGGAGGGGCAGTGGAGCAAACTTAAAAAGGAATATGTAAACCTAGCTACACAAAAGAGCTGATAATAATTCTTTAGACAGATAGGTAATCAAACTCAACTCTCCTCAAGAATATAATTTGTTCAAAAGCAACAAACAAACAAAGGAAGATTAAACTTAATGATTTGGTCCACAAGATAAATGATAAGGTCAAAACAATTACCTCTTAAAAGAGTAAGGTCAAAACCTGAACTTTCCAACTAAGGCGATGGAGCTTTGGTTTTTTTCAGTCTCTTCATTGCAGGGGAGATGGTATTCATCTTTTTACCTTTCTTTTTCAGCTTCCTCTTCTTCTTTGCAAGAGGCATCTCTCTAATTGGGCCCGGAGGCACACCTTTCTTGAGAGCACTGCCCCGTGGGGTTGAAGAGGGGGGCAATCTCAAACTTTGCGGAGGCATTGGGCTGTGTGGTTTCCACACCAAGTTATTCTTCATAGCAAACCTAACCTTCTTTGCACTCTTCTCTTCACTCTTTCCAGCACTAACTACAGAATCTCCTGCATTGTGTGCGTCAGCAATACATGACTCAATGCTTTTGACACTTTTACCCCTCTTTCTTTTCTTTTTAATGGTAGTGTTAGGTTTATCGGTTTCATTGCCTGGACTAATTTCTGCAGCTACTTTCTCGAACTCCATCCGTAGATTTGAAATAACAGACTCAGATAAGCTATCACTATCAACAGATATCCCATTTTCAGCCACTGTTTTCTCTATGTTCTCCCCATGAGAGGCATTTTCAGAACGGTCACATTTGTTTTTTCCTTCTTTTGACGTTTCCTCCTCCCCATCTAGTGCAACACTGTTTTTCTTTTTCTCCTTTTTCTTTTTACCATTTTCATTGCTTCCATCCTGCATCATCTTAGCCTTCTTGCATCTCCTAAAACTCCCATCACTGTGGTATTCAGATGCATCATCCTCTTTTGTCACGCCATTCACGATTGGAACCAATTGAGGAATCTCCTCTTCATCCACAGCAACCTCAGGAAGCACAATATCAACCCCTGATGTTCGATATCTTTTCTCTAATTTCAAGAACTCCTCGTGCAACTTGAAGACTGCTTTCCTATTTCCCTGGAGGCAATCTAAAGATGACCCAATCTCAAAGAACTTCCCCGAAAACCCCATTTTCATTGCAATCAACCCAAGAGCAACAACTGCATAGCTCTCATTTTCCTCAACCCCTTTCCTCTTCTTCTCCAATAAACTCCCCCCAATCTTTAACAGCTCATCAAACACACAACTCTTCACTTTCGCAACCATCACCCTATCCCCGGACTTCTTCATAACCTCAAACAATGGCTTGAACAAAAGCCCAACCACATCCTCAATAACCGGAACATTACAGCCACTCAACTCATCAAGCCAAACAGAAGCAATGTGATAACACACCCCATTACCTAACAGCTTATCCTCGGCTAAGAATGCACTATTGATGAAAATACCAACAACCTTATTCAGAAGCTCCACATTCCAGCTATGTTTCTTGCACATATCGAAAACCGCATGAACGAATTTCCTGACAAGCAAGTAAAACTTGTCGAGCCTCAATCGGTCAATCCCGACCCATTCACGCTTCAAAGTGATGAGAAAAAATGAGAAATATTTCAGAGCAAGAGAGAGGTCGAGACTCAGTACGAGTGAAGAAGCGCGATTGATGAGATGGGATTGAGCCGGAGCCTTATCGGAATGCCAGAGGCAATAGAAGAGTCCCTTCCAGAACTTCTTCATATCGTCGTCGGAGATGTCGGACTGATTCAGAAGCCATCCCTCGAGCAGCCGCAGAGATCTGGATCGGACGGGAGCGCTGCAGGAGGCCAAGTATTTTATGAGGGCCGGACCGGGAGGTATGGCGTCGACGATGAGCTTCTTCATTGCCATCGATCGCCAAACTGGATTGTTTGGATTGAAGATGATTTTCGAAATAAGGCAAAGGGAAGAGCAAAACCCTAGGATGATATTTGGCCCACCTGCCAATTTAAGAGAAAGAGGGGTCCCGCTTGTCACACCACCCACCACATTTACGTTGTACTTGTACAGTTGTACTCCGTATTTTTTAAATTTAGTTTAAAAAAATATTTACATTTACTTGTTTTAAATTTATTAAAAAAATATTTTTATTAATTTAGTTAAATGTAATTAGTTTGTTAAATTTGGTATAGTACGTTTAAGTTTTAAAAAATGGCGGATTTAACTTTTTATTTAATTTTTGATGAAATATTGCAAAAATTGCTTTTTTGGGTTTATTATTACTCTAGTGTTATAAGCGTTGCTATTTTATGTTCTTATTTTTTTTATTTTCAACATTTTCCAATATTAGGATTAAATACTCCGTATCATTCAATTATTTACATATACAAGTATATAAGAAATAAAATTGAGAAAAGATAATCTTCCAGTTTTTTTTATAATAATTCAATTAAGGGTCTGTTTGGGAATAGTATTAGCGATTAGCGATTAGCGTTAGCGTTTTGAAAAAACTATCTACGGACAGCGTTTAGCGTTAGCCTTTTCAAAATAATGTGTACCTTTAAAATTTATCTAAAACGCTAACGCTAATTTCTGACGCTATATTTCCAAATATTTATTTTTTTACATATGTTTGTGTTTATAATTAAATAAGGGTGGGGTGGGTTTTTTTTTTTGAATTAGAGAGCATTGGAACAAAACAAAAAGGACATGTAGAACTGAGCCATAGGCGAATAGAATAGAGATTTTGGTCAAAGATCTCGTTCCAAAAATATGTTCCCTTTGATTTAAATCACCTTTTACTCATACTATAAATTAGTTAGTACTAATATCAACTTATTAAGTATTAACCTAACTCATATCACATTATATATGGGCTAATAGCTTAGGTGCCCCTATAATATACAAAAGTGCATCAAAACTATCTCTATTTTAAAAAGTTATTTGTAAAAAATAGCGCATAAGCCTCTCCTCCTACCTATTTTTAGAGTTAAAATGACATTTATGCTTTTTCTTTTCCTCTATTTTCAAGTTTCAATCTTTTATTTACATTTTTCTATTATGATACAAATAAATAAAATAAAATATACGCTCCCTATCTCAAATTAATATTTTTATTTATTTATTTTCAAAATAAAATAATTTTTTAAGAAAAATTTTATTAAAAAAATGAAAAGAAAAAGAATGCAATGAAAGATCAATGAGAAGGATATAACATTTCAACATAATATAGAGCCTATATATAGACTTACAAAGGAGAAATCAAAGGTCTAACTTTAATGAGGATTATCAAAAACATGTTACATAATGGAGAACATCAAAAGACATTGTACATAACAGAAAGGACTATTATAACCCAACAATAGTTAGGTTATGTTTCTCTTCAACTTGTCAGAAAATTACTCACGGGTGACGCGAGTTTTGTTGAAATAATTCTCAGGTTCTTCTATTTTCAAGAAGACAGCAAAGGTCCTTACATTTTGTTGTAATGATTGGAAGGGAACATTTCATACAATTTTTCATCTATAAACGTTAATAAATGTAATTTTGTCTTATTCTTTTCTAAATGTTTTAAGGTAATAAATCCTAGGTCGTTCCTTTTTTTATTTCTTTGTTTTTCTTTCATTTTGTTACTATTTTTTAAAGTGTTATTTTAGAATTTCTTCTATAAAATCGTATAAAAGTTCAAAATTGTTTGTATTATATTAAAACAAATGAAATAAAACAAATTTAAAAAAAGAAAAAACAAGGTAATGGCAAAATAGAAAAAAACGGTATTGAAAAAATAGGAAAAAATACATTTATTAACACTTACGGATGATGTATTGGATGAAATGTCCCCTCCCAGTCATTACAACAAAATATAAGGACTTCAATTGTGTTTTTAAAAATAGAGGGACCTGAGAGTTATTTCAACAAAACTCGCGTCACCCGCGAGTAATTTTCTGTCAACTTGTTCTTATTACTTATTACTTTTTCTTATTGGAATCAATTCAGATCATATTAAATAAGAAACAACTTTAATTGTAATTATTTTCAAATCAAATCAGTACATTTCATATTAGAATTTATTACAATTAATTCAGAACTATTCAAATCAGGTGAAAAAAATGGTTGTACTTTCCAAACCATATACTCTCTTTGTCCTAAAACGATCTTCCCGAATTGACTAAAACATGTTTTTAAGGGATTGATTAATTTGGCTATGACCTCCTAAACTTGAAAAGAGTTCAACTAAAATCAGATTTAAAAAAAAATCAATCCCATATTTGGCAATTGAGTAAATTCAATAAAAGATCCCCAGTTATATGCCGTTTTACATATTTAGTCCCTACATATCAAATATTACTAATTTAGTCCCCAAATATTATATTTATTTCCACGAATGGTCCTTTGTTAACATTTTCGTTAAAAACGTGGGCAAAATTATAAATTCACACTCCTTTCTCTCCTCAATTAGGCTTCCCTCCTCCCTTGCACACTTTTCTCAAACCCGTCGCTGAATTTCTAGCTTTGAACCCTAAACCAAAATCATCACTCTTCTCTCAATTGTATGTCTAACTGGAGGAACGATCATTTAAGTTTTTGGTTTAAGACATTCAAACTCAGCGACGAGTTTGGAAAAGAGTATGAGAAAACGGAGGAAACTTAATTGAAGAGAGTGAGGAATATGAATATACAATTTTGTCCACGTTCTTAACGGAAATGTTAACAAAGGATCATTCGTGAAAAAAAATATAATAATTAGGGACTAAATTAGTAATATTTGATATGTAGGGACTTAATATGTAAAACGACCTATAACTGGGGACCTTTTATATAATTTACTCTTGGCAATTTGACAGAGATATTGCTTTAATGTACCAATATTATTATGGCTCGTGTGACTGCTCGGTTGTGACTTGTGAGGACGGCTGCTCCATTGACTTCTCGGCAATAGCGGTAGCAGTCTCCATGTACACGCAGCAACGATCGAGATCTAAAACGATTTGGGCTAGAAAGCAACAAAAACTATTAGGAAAATGTTAGGAGTAAACTAAAAGTGTACCCCAAACATCCTTCACTACAAAAAAAGCAATAAAAATTCAAAAAAAATTATAAATTAAAAATAAAATAAAAATGAATGGTAAAGAGAGGGGTGGTGTACATTTGGGATACACCTTTGGTGTACCCCTAGCATATCCCAAACTATTAGGATCCGTTTGGTATACGGAATTGATGGGATTGAAATTGAATTAAAATTCCACGCGATTCAATTCCATAGAATTGAATTCTGCCAATTCCAATTCATTTTTTGCACTATCAATTCCAAATCCACATAATTCTTGTGCTACCAAACACCAGAATTGGAATTGAAGTCTCCAATTCCAATTTTATAGTTTGAATTCCGTATACCAAACAGGGCCTTAGAAAATCATAGGGAGATGTCTCAAGTAAATTCAGGTCTTCGATCTCCGATAAGAAAACCAATTGAACTTATAATATTTATAACTTATAAATATAACTTATATAAACACTGAACTTATAATATAACTTATAAACATAAAAACACATACTTAAGATACAATAAAAAAAAGTATAAAAACTTATATTTATAACTTATGAACTAACACTCATACTAAAACTTATATGATAAACTATAACGAAGGGGGGGTGTTTGATGAAAAGTAAATATTTTTAGGTTTTTATTATTTTCTTTTTTTTTTGGTTTTTTGATAAAATGGGATAAAGCAAGCTCTAAATATATTCAACTCCTCCAACTAAGGTAACCCAAGAAACACCACCAAGAACCCAAAAGAAAATGTAAAAGAGATCAAACACAAATCGAACATTACACGTATAATAGGCACGTAGACAATATATTACGTAACTTACGCACTTAAGAAGAGAAAAAATCAATCAAAGTTCGAGTTGCTGATTCATTTCATTAACCACGATATGGAGGATTGTCAACTCTCTATAAGGCCCGGAGTCAAAAATTCAAAGGCCTTTTGAATCACTTTGAACCCCCACTCACCTCAAGCGCTCAAATAATGATTCCAAAAGATGAAAAAGTTTATAAAAGAGCGAATCTTTCTTTCATCCTAACTCCCATGCACAAATTATTCACGAAGAACATTTGATACACTTTAATAAACTTTAACGTCTAATGATAAAATATTTTGCAAGTCTCCTTGAACAAATCAAGCATAAGAATTTTAATCTCTTCACATAAGAAAACATTACATATTTTCAAAAACTTAAAAATTGTTTTTGTGTTTAAACAACCTTAAATTTTATGAAAATAACATAAAACAAACGAACGACAAAAGAATCAATCAATAACGAATCTTAAGTAAAACGTCCAACTTATGGGGCTAAGAAGTCCATTAACCTTAAAATTTTACAAAACACATAGCACAACGAAGAATCACGTATGAATTCAAAAATCATTTAACTATAATATGGAGTTAAAATAGCTTCAATAAAAATCGAATTCCAGATGCCAACCTACTTATGAAATCAAACTGTGCGATTCAACCAATTCAACAACAATTTGCGCAAAAAGTTGGAGAAAACCAATATGAATCAATTTTAATTAATAAGGGATTTAATATAACATTAAAAAAACCCCATAAAAGAACACCAACCATTTTGGAATTTTTGAAATTCACACAACAAGCCAAAAAAAATGTAAACTTGAATTGAAACAACACTTTAACAATGAAATTGGAGAAGCATTTTTTTTGACAAATATAGGGTTACCAAATGAGGAAGAAGATGAAGAAAACTTGAGAAATAGGAGCTGGAGGAGACTGCCCACCGCTCGCCGGAGCTTTTGCCGCCGCCGGTTCGCGTCTGCCGGCCGCCACCACCGCCGCCGCGTCCTAAGCCGCAGCTCTCTTTCGTCGTTGTTCCCCCCGTTATTTGTGAGTAGCGGCCTCCCAATTTATAGCAAGAAGGAGCTTTTTACCATTGAATTTTTGCTCGTTGGAGACTTGAATGTTGGAGCGTAGGAGAAGGAGATGGTCTTCGCTGCGGAGAAGAAGAAGTCGCCGGTTCAATTCTCCGTTCTTTTTTTTTTCTTTCTTGCGTGAAAATAAGGTGGAGGGAGGAGAGGAGAGTTGGGCTTGCTTTTGTTGTTGATGGGTTTGGGCTCCGGCCCAAATTAAATCTTTTTTCCAAACTTGATCTTCAATTTGGTCTTTTGTTACATTTTTCATCAAAAAATAAGATATCTGATAATTTTGGGTTAGAGAAATAAAAATAAAAATAAAAGAATATAAAAAAATGATAAAAAATCTTTTATTTATTCAAGAATATTAAAAGATTATAAAAATAAGAACTAAAATAAAACTAAGCTAAACAACTAAAAATTGAACTCTAAAAGTTTTAAAAATACCTAAAAAAGAATAAAAAGAACTAACCCAAAAATGACGTATCAGCAGGTATTGAAGCTAATTAGCATCTCCAATCTTTAAAGCTCTTCAGATTTATATCTAGGAGTTTGAGGGGTGAAAGAGATAGAAAAGAATGAGAATTGAAGGGAAGAGAGATATATTATGTGGATAAAAGATACTCTCTCCGTCCTACAAAAATTTTTCCCTTTCTTTTTTTCATCCATCCCAAAAAACTTTTCCTATTTCTATAAAAAAAAGTTACTTTTAAAGCACATGAAATACTCGTGAAGCCCCGGGGCTTCAAACCGGAGCTTCAAATTTTCACTCTTTACCATGTCAACTCTTACTTACTCACAGATATACTAAAAATAAACATTTTCTAAAAATATATCAATAAAATTCAATTATTTAATTAAATTGAAACGAGAACAATTCATAAAAAAATTACATGCATTCATTAAATTAAAAAATTAAAACGACAATAATTCATAAAACTTACATTCAATAAAAAAACATTTAATAAAAAAATACATTAATAAAAAAACTAAGATAAATTATGTTTAGCCTTGATCTTTTTTGTCTTCTCTTGGAGATCATACGTTTGAAGTCCGAAAACGTATCAAGGTCGGTTTCCATTACGTCAATCTCTTCTTTCTGTTGCTTTCTTTTCTCCCTCTCTTCTTCTCCAATAATGAACATCCGAAGTTATTCAACCATTGCCCGATCAATATCGTCGTGAGAAGAAACAGAGTCGGACACTTCAGAACCCGAGGCAATGAATTTTGCTTTCTTTCTTCTAATCGGTCGTGGAATAGGGTCCTCGTCATCAAAATCATCTACTCTGAAGGGAGACATTTGTTTGGACGAACTGATAGTGTCATCGACCTCAATCTCAGCCTCGATGGAGGATATTTTCTTTGAGGATCTGGCCTCGAAATTGTTGAGTTGTTGCCATTTCGGTGAATAGCTTAAAATTATCCAAAGATCGATAGACATCTTGCCTTGGTGTCTGTCGTCTTGAGACTGGGTCGTGGCAAGTCGGAGAATATCAGTGTCGTTCGTCTCGCTCTTCCAGGATCGAGAGCATTCCTCGTAAACTCTGATAAACTTTCGGACTTTACGGTTGATGTGGCCACATTTCGAAGTAAGTTGGTCTCGAGTACGGTACGAGGCATTCTTGTTTATCGCTGCAAAAAACTTCTCATCGATACGATCCCACACCACATCCTTTGTTTGCTTCGAACCTTTAAAAACTATATAATTGAACGAAATTTCTTTTAAACACAAATATATAAATAAGAACACAAATACATTAGAAACATATAATTTTTACCAACGATTCATTTAAAAAATTTGGTTCGTTTAAATATATTTGATTCGTTTAGATTTTAAAATATTTTATGACCATTTAATCTATTTATTAGCTATTATTTGTCTATATATATATAAAATAAATTTATATTCCAAATATATTTCTCAAACTCACGAATCGAATACTCTTGATTCATATTAGTATTCGAAAAGGATTTGAATATTTATTCAGATTCATATTCGTATTCGGATATGAAAAAATCGATAAGATTGATGAAAGCTTATCGGAAAACTTCCACGAGCTTGTTTAGCACGCAAGCAAATTTCACAACAAATATGACTACTCTTACTTGCTCCAACCTGGGGAACAAGACTCAAAAATGAGAGGAAGGATGTTCGAGCCGCTTATGCCAAAGATCAAAATTACTCTCCTTTGCACTGTACGCCATCTTTTTGTCAGGCACCTTGAAGAAATACAGTCCTCTTCCCTGTTCACCTATATCAAATGTTGTCTTTAAACATAGGTCCTTCAATACGCACCCGTTGTTGGCAGAGCGTGCCTCACAGTTTAGTTCCCTTGCTAATTATGACCCAGAGATCAGATGGCAACTCAAAGCGGGAACATATAAAACATTTTGCAGAGTCAATGTTTTTGTCAATTCAATTTTCCCAAAATCGAATAGAAATAACTTGTTTTCCATTCGGCAAACCAATCTCTCATGGTGACACACCCACCACATCATGCAATAATGAAATTTCACTTGTCATATAACTCAATGTGCTAGTATCTACGGAGTATAATCTAACGTGGTGATACAAGAATATCTAAAAGTTTCACACTAGAGACAAATGGTGATAGAGAAAAAGCATGATGAACAATGTTTCACTATTCTGGAGTTAAATCATCAAAATTGGGACAACTACTATATGGATCACACAAGTTAGGAACTCTATATGGAAACTAGATACAAAAGGAAATAAATCAATATCTACGGTAAACTACTAAAAGAGTAAATACGGGAATATATGGAAATATATTCCTTCCTTCTTTAAGAGTACATTAGGTTTTGAACAAATGTAAAAACATGTGGGGGGAAATACTCAACCTATAATATCGGTTTATCCTTCTCGAATTCAAACCCATTATTTATTTAAAACAAATGGGTGGAGTAGTCCTTCAAAAAAGGGTAGAGTATAGCGGTAAACATTTCGAGCCCTTCAAAACTCAACTTGTTCTCTCGGATGTTTAGAGATATTATCGATGAAACTTTTTTTACTTTTCATTCTTTCTCTTTTATTGCATACTTTACTAAAAATGAATTTGTATATCTTGTTTAGTAATTACTCCGTATTCATTATCTAGTGTTACGTACACAATAAAAAAATTTAAAATTTTTATAACTAGTTTATTACACCGATACTGAGACCCCACGAGTCCAAATCCTATTACTACGTATATCACATCAAGACCCATTGGGTAAACAATCACGGGAGAGTTACAATTTTTTAATCGAGACAGGTAGTGGTCTGGCCCGAACACAACCTATTGATGGGCTTATCCGTAAGAAAGCTATATATGAAGAGTCACTCACCACAGTGACTGCATGGGCTGTTTAGTTGGGAATATTTTTCAACACTAAGCTCATTTTTTCTCAACTTGTTCTTATTACTTGTTACTTATTCTTATTTAATTAGATTAGATTAGAAATATTTTTAAATATAACTATAATCAGATCAGGTGAGAACGTGGCCTAAAAGTTTGTTTTCTTTAACTTATTTATATTACTTATTCTTTATTCTTATTAGAATCAGATTAAAAAATTTAGTTGGGAATGTTTTCCACGCTATTATAATAATAATCTAGGTAATATAATTCTTCTTTTAAAAATTGGGTAACTGTTTAATTCTCAAATTTTTGTTTAGAGCTGTGCTACAAACCCACCACTCTTGCGTCCTTTGTTGACACCCGATAAAAGACCTATTTTTTCATTTTAAATTTTCTTTCTTTCTTTCAATTCCCTTTCTTTCCTCTTGCTCGTGAACCCTCTAATTTTTCTTTCATCAAATCCTATCTCTCCATGATTTTTTCTAGGTGACTCTAATATCTACGTTAATATATATTTCTTTCTTTGGTTTTATAGAATACAGACATGCACTTTTTTTTTGAACGCAGACATACACTTAAATGAATTTTTATTTTGATTATAAATTTTTTTCTATATCTCCTTATTATTTTGATTAAAAAATATCTTGCTCAATCTTTAAGAATAAGCTCAAACTTTGAGTATTTCTATATATCCTTATTATTTTTATACTTCAATTAATTTAGTCATTATGTATAATGTGTTTATGAGTTTATTTGTTTATGGGAAATTGTTGATTTTGTAGTGTATGACTATCTTCATTTAATAAAATATTTCAACTTTAGAAAAACAAAAGATTTAAGATTATGTAATTTTAGTGTTATTTTTCAATTTTATTTTTATTTTATAGTTTATACCGTGTAATAGAGTAGGATAGAAATATAAAATATGTTGAGTAGACTAATACTTTCTCACTCCCAAAAAGATGTTCCCATTTTAACATTTAGAAAATTTAAGGGAGGATTTTCTTGTGTCGAGTTTCCAAAAATGTCATTGATGTGATGGATAAAAGTAAGATGTAATGTGTAAATTATTTAGTATAAAGGTATTGTAAGTGTTTATAAATTTTAAAAATAATTAAAAATGGAAGTGAAACATTTACTCCGTAAAATATAACTATTTGATCCCGTGGTATTCAATTTTTGGATACTATGACTTTTTCATTTAATTACTCCATATTTGAATGGTTATTTGAAATTAAATTAAATACTCCATGCTTTTTTGTTATTTACATATTTAAATGTTCATGCGAATGTAGTTTGAAGGGGTCAAATTAAAGGTGCTCCCACTGAGATTTTTTCCTGCTGGATCCGCCGAGCAACCACTGCATAGCTCTCGTTTTCCTCAACCCCTTTCCTCTTCTTCTCTAATAAACTCCCCCCAATCTTTAACAGCTCATCAAACACACAGCTCTTCACTACTTTCGCAACCATCACTCTATCCTCGGACTTCTTCATAACTTCAAACAATGGCTTGAACAAAAGCCCAACCACATCATCAGTAACAGGAACATTACAGCCACTCAACTCATCAAGCCAAACAGAAGCAATGTGATAACACACCCCATTACCTAACAGCTTATCTTCAGCTAAGAATGCACTATTGATGAAAATACCAACAACTTTATTCAGAAGCTCGACATTCCAGCTATGTTTCTTGCACAAATCGAAAACTGCGTGAACGAATTTCCTGACAAGCAAGTAAAACTTGTCGAGCCTCAATCGGTCAATCCCGACCCATTCACGCTTCAAAGTGATGAGAAAAAAAAGAGAAATATTTCAGAGCAAGAGAGAGGTCTAGATTCAGTACGAGTGAAGAAGTGCGATTGATGAGATGGGATTGAGCCGGAGCCTTATCGGAATGCCAGAGACAATAGAAGAGTCCCTTCCAGAACTTCTTCATATCGTCGTCGGAGATGTCGGACTGATTCAGAAGCCATCCCTCGAGCAGCCGCAGAGATCTGGATCGGACGGGAGCGCTGCAGGAGGCCAAGTACTTTATGAGGCCGGGACCAGGAGCAATGGCGTCGACGATGAGCTGCTTCTTCTTCATTGCAATCGATCGACCAAACTGGATTTTAGAATTAAGGCAACCGGAAGAGCAGAAACCCTAGGGCTAATATTTGGCCCACCTGCCCATTTGAGAAAGAGTGGGTGCCGCTTGTCACCCCACCCACCACATTTAAGTGGTACTCAATATTTTTTTGAAATTTAGTTTAAAAAAATATTTACGCGTTTGGTTTGGGATAAGGGAAACGGGAAACAGAATGGGATTCTCCAATTTCATTTGTTGTTATTTGTTTTAAAAAAAGTTCAATTTGTTTCTTTATTTTTCTGTTTTGGATTATCCTATTTCACGTTTTTAGATTCCCCGATCCCTATAGGAATTTCACATTCCCCTAGCTTCCGTTTTTTAACGCTTCTTCCCCTCCCCTAACCCTTCTTTCAGAAAATTACTCGTGGGTGACGCGAGTTTTGTCGAAATAAGTTTCAGGTACCTCTATTTTAAAAAAGACAACCGAGATCCTTATATTTTGTTGTAATGACTGAGAAGGGGGCATTTCATCTAATACATCATCCGTAAGTGTTAATAGATGTATTTTTTCCCTATTTTTCCAATACCGTTTTTTCTTATTTTGCCATTACCTTGTTTTTTTCTTTTTTTAAATTTTTTTATTTCATTTGTTTTAATATAATACAAACAATTTTGAATTTTTATACGATTTTATAAAAATTTTTATACAAGGTAATGGAAAAATAAAAATTGTTTGTATTATATTAAAAAAAAGAAATAAAAAAATTTTAAAAAAAAAGAAGGTAATGGCAAAATAAGAAAAAACGGTATTGGAAAAATAGGAAAAAATACATTTATCGTATAAAAATTCAAAATTGTTTGTATTATATTAAAAAAAAGAAATAAAAAAATTTAAAAAAAAAGAAAAAAAGAAGGTAATGGCAAAATAAGAAAAAACGGTATTGGAAAAATAAGAAAAAATACATTTATTAACACTTACGGATGATGTATTAGATGAAATGCCCCCCTCTCAGTGATTACAACAAAATATAAGGATCTAGGTTGTTTTTTTTTTAAATCCATTTCTTCCCCAATCTTCGCCTCCCTTTCATCACTCCCTTTCGGCGCAGCACGTCACTCTCTACCAGCCGCCGCCACACCGCATCTCGCTACCACACCGCCACTCCATCCGCACCGCAGCCCAGGTATGTTCCTCCTCCTTCTAGCTCTGTTTCCTCCCCATCCGCTCCAGCCAGCTTCGATTCCTCCCCTCCCGCTCCAATTCCTTCACTCCTGTTTGGATTCCCCCCCTCCCACTCCAG